CAAGAAATTCACAATTAATAGAAGATTTTCAAGAAACCCTAATAAATGTAGATGAATATATGTCAGATAAGNCAATTTACAGATACAAAAACAACTAAAATAGAATAATATGAGTTTCTGTAGATCAACTGTGTATACAACACAAAGCTATGACAAAAATGAATATAGAAAGAAGAAATATAGAAAATATAGACCTCAATACAACAAGGGATACAATAGAAAAAATTATTATCTTAGAAAATCATTAGCTAGAAAACTCTATCTAGATAGGAATAGACATGTTAGAAAGTATAGAACAGATAGAAACTATAAAAATAAACTAGAATCTTTCACTTGCGGTAGTGTAGAACACTTAGCAAATACATGCCTAAAAAGAATTAATAATAAAACAAGAAATTCACAATTAATAGAAGATTTTCAAGAAACCCTAATAAATGTAGATGAATATATGTCAGATAAGGAAAGTATATACTCTATAGTAAGCGTAGATATAGAAGAAAAAACTCAAATAGATACCTCAGAATCAGAAGAGGAAGAATTAATAAATGAAATAGGATTAGAAAAATTAGATTTAGAAGAAAATACCTTTGTAAACATATCAGAAGAATATACCAATAATTTTGAAAGAAATAAAGGATTAGATAGTAATCAGTGTTTTATATGCAAATGGTACCCTAGTAGAAATAGAAGAGTTAAATGTAAATTATGCTATCTAGAAGGATGTATTTCATGTATAGAAAAAGATTTTGAAACAAAAAATAAATAAAGAAGAAAAATACCAAGAAATAAATGATCATACCATGAATTTGGGAATAATGACATTAGAAGCTAGAATAAATGAACTAGAAAAAAGAAAACAGAAAATGGAAAAGGGAACAGACAAATTAAAAGATATAAAAGAAAACATAACAACAGTAGAAGAAGAACTAATGAGTATTGAAAATTATGATACACTAATATGTAATCAAGATAAAAAATTAAGTACAATAAAGATTTTAGCAAGAATCAAAATAGAAGATTATGAAATAGAAACGTTAGCTCTAGTAGATTCCGGGTCCACAAGATGTATAATAAATAAAAAGATAGTTCCCTCAAATCTAATCAAAACCTAGGAAAAGCCAGTTGCAGCTATGCAGATGGATGGAACCCATAATATATACAGACATTATATAGATAAATCACATATTAGCTTTATAAATACATGTTTAGATTTCTATAAACCCAGCTACAAGGTAGATAAAATCTGGGTAAGAGACTTAAACATAAATGTAGACTTTGTACTAGGATTAAGTTTTATATTATATAATAATGGTAGTTGTCTACTCAGTAGAGATTGAGTAATATTCTATAAAAATATTACACAAACACCAGTACAAACAATAGAAACTGCAACCAGGATAAGAAAACGACTGAACGCAAGCCAGAAAAACTTGCAAGAAAATCAAAAAGAATGTTGTAAAGAGTGTAAAGATAAAAATATATGCTGTAAGATTAAAGAAGAATCTAAAACCTTAATACTAGAAGAAAATGAAGATAGAGATATATTAGAAAAAGACTATACTTTAATAGATATTGAAATAGAATTATACAATTTTAAAACAGGACTACAAAAAATAGGAATAATAATGAACAAAAAGGATATAGATAATATAATAAAAATATTAGATGAAATAGAAATAATAGGAGAAAAACTTTTAAAACATTGAGAAAACAATAAAGTTATGTGTAAACTAGATATAATTAATCCAGAATATATAATTAAAACAGCCTCAATAGAAGCTACAAATCAAGATCTAGAAGACTTCAAAATTCAAATTAAGGAGTAATAAGAAGATTCACTTCTAAACACAGGTCAGCAGTCTTTATGGTTAGAAACCATAGTGAGATAGTAAGAGGAAAAGCGAGAATGGTAATAAACTACAAAAGACTTAATGATAACACTAGAATAGATGAATATAAGTTACCTGATAAAACAGAACTAATAAATAGAATACAAGGAAAAAGGATATTCAGCAAGTTTGACTGTAAATCAGGGTATTGGGAAGTAAAGATGCATGAAGAAAGCATTGAGTGGACTGCATTTACTTGTCCAGAAGGACACTTCGAATGGCTAGTAATGTCGTTCGGACTAAAAACAGCTCCACCAATTTTTTAACGAAAAATGGATAGTATATTTGGATAATATAAGAGATTTGTATTAGTATATGTAGATGATATACTAGTATTTAGTAAAGATATTAAAGAACATTTAGGACATTTACAGATAATATTTAGATTATTTGTAGATAATGGAATAATAATTAGTAAAAAGAAGATGGAAATATGTATGAATTATATAAATTTTCTAGGAGTAATCTTAGTGGAAGAAAAAATTAAATTACAACCCCATATAGCTAAAAAGGCCCTAGAAATGCCAGATAAATTAGATAGTACCAAAGAGTTACAAAAGTTTTCGGGAATAGTAAATTATGCGAGAAACTTTATTAAAGACTTAGGAAAAATAGCAGAACCATTATATGCTAAGACAGGAGCTACAGGACAAAAATATTTTAACACAGAAGACATTAAATTAGTACAAAACATTAAAGAAAAAATAAAAAAAATTCCTGATTTAAATATGCCACTGGAAACAGACTACTTGATAATAGAAACAGACGGTAGTTTTGAAGGATGGAGAGCAGTTTTAAAAGCAAAACCAAATAAATATAGTGATAAGAGCACAGGAAAAATATGTGCTTATCAAAGTGGTAAATATAAAGAAAAAGGAAATATGAGTAGTATAGATGCAGAGATATTAGCTGTAATTTACGAATTAAATAATTTTAAATTTTATATATTAAATAAACAAGAAGTAACAATTAGAACTGATTGTGAAGCCATAGTTAAATTTCACCAGAAAATAAATGCAAAGAACAGTAGTAGAAGAAGATGGTCATATTTTATAGATACTATATCAATATATAATCTGGTTTTTGAACATATTAAAGGAAAAGATAATAATTTAGCAGATCAGTTAAGTAGGCTTAAAATTACTGTCAATTAATAAACAAGTATTTTACATGTACAACATGAGACCAACAGTTTCCAACACTGAAGACAAAGGGAAGGGCGTTCAAGCCTCACCCTCAGACAATACTTGCAGACAGTATTAGGTAATCTTTATTTTAAGCCACATCCTTTGGGAGAACAGACCAATATAGAAAGAATAAATTTTGGCAAACATAATTTAATATTTTTTCCACCATCAAACATGTCATTTAGAGTCCTACCAGAATGTGTTATAGACAGACCTCAACGGTGTTTAATTGATAACTTATGGATAGCATATAATAAGAAAGACACTAAATATTTTATAGCATCTCTTAATGCCTTAGGACAATATTTTACAGATAAAAACCAAGACAAAATATTTAAGTATTATGTGGTTATACATGGTAAGACAAATGATATTTTTCAAACATTGTTAGAAGTACTATATTCTATTAAGGATATAGAGAAACCACTTTTCAAAGGTTTTAATGATTTTACTGAAGCATTAGATTATACAAGAGGAATACTAGGACCAAACTACTATATCTCTCCAGCACTCACACAAAACCCAAAAAAAAACCTCAATACAACATCCGAAAAGACAATGATAAGATAATATTCTGTGATCATTGTTCATCAATGACAGAAGCCTTTAAACGAATAAACAAGAAAAATGACTGGCACAAGAGAAGGCAAAACTTATGGAGCAGGTAAAAGTATTGGAACACAGGGTACAAGCGTTGAAATTTGAATTATCCCAGACTCAAGTTATTTCTCAACAAGATACAGAGATGAACAGTCCAAAACAGAGTTCTCCATCTCAAAAAAAAATGGATGAGAAGGGTGTGCATTCCCCAATGAATGCAGCAAGATCCACTGTATCGGGTAATGATACAGCTAGTACGGTTCAAACGGTAACCGATAAAGACACATTAAATCCGTTTATGGCTGTCACTTTGCCAAAAAGTGAAAATGAAGGTTCATCAAGAAGAAGACTACCCAGAACATTAACACAGGGAGAAATGTTAAAAAAAGAAAAGTATAATTTCAAAAAAGAAAAAAAAATGAAAAAATAGAAAATATAATCAAACAAACATTAGAAAATTTTTTTCAAGAAAAGGAAGAACAAGACAAACACATGGTTAAGAATCCAAGTCCAAGTCCAAATCCACGTCCAAATCCAGAAAGAACCCAAAGTTCAAGAGAAGATGATAACTATGAAGACAACCTAAATTATCAAGATGCTCAAGATCCATATGAAGATGAGTCAGAAATGAGCTTCGATTCAATAGCTATACATAATTTAGACACCTAAAAACAAAGTCCCAGTTAAGAGCACTAAAGACAAAAGAAACAAGGCTGGTATACAAATCAATAATGATAGCATACCAACGAGAAAAACAAGAAAAGAAGAGGTAACAGGAAGAAATGCTAGCTGTGCTAAAAGACAAGTTAAAATTTTGAGTGGAAGAAAAAGTTACAAACACGGAAGGAATCTCCGACCAAGCCATGTGAAGATGGGGCCCAATGAAGTACCCTGCAAGGCTGGACAAGATAGATTTCAGAAGAGTTTAGAATCCGTTCCCAAATTTAGCTATAAAAAGGAGAAGAAAGCAGAAAAAAAACAAGATCGAAAAGAAGAAAAACACTCTGAAGAAAACCCATCCAACCAACCTTTTCATCATCAACCCCCTTTCCAAAACACTTTGTAAAATATTTCCTTATGAATACTTTAGTAGTTCCTCCTTTAAGCTTGTAAAATAAATAAGGCCTTATGCTTATGTGTGATCGTTTTTAATTTTCAAAGCTCAGTAGACTTTTTCGGGTTTCCCGAAAGAGAAATCTCTCTCCTATAAGCATGTAAGTTACTCATCTTTTATTTAAATTATGTTCCTGCTAGATATTACCACTGTTTATTTTAATTTTTTTTTGTTATTCTGTATAGTTTTATGTTTCATGTTCATATGATCGATTATTAAATATCACTCTTAGTATATGGTTAGCTTCCCAATTTTTTAACAATTATGATGGATTAACCTGTAAATTCCTAGGAGAAACTGGTTAAGTAAAACCTGAAAACAATTAAGAAGGGTATAAGTGTTTAACCATGGCCGGGGTGAGGTTAAAGAAATAAGAGTTAAGAAAAGTGTTAAAAACTTTAAAAGATTGAGAAGAAGAGATGAACAGAGTGGATTAAAAAAAAGTAGTAAAGGGGTAATCTCAGTTCATAATTTAGATAAGATGGTAATTATACAAGTTTTTAGAATAAAAGAGAGAGATTACCGAGTAGGATTTTCACAACATAAGAGTTTAATCGCAAAAAATAATTTTATTATTAATGTCCAACAATCGTAATAACTATACAAATCCAGAAAGCTTTGTTAGGAGCTTTACTCAAAGTTTTAAAGAATTAATAATAAACATAGAAATCGGATTTTATTCGATAGTAGATTTGATAGTACATTTTATATATCTACAATACAATAGTAGTATCTGTTCAAATATATATAGAAAACAACTACATCTGATATTGTTAATATTATCATACCATCAGTCATATATATACACACCATTTGAACACAAAATGTACTTCAACAACTAAATATATAAGATCTGACCAATTCTAATAACTTAACATAATAAACTCAAGAATACCATAAATGGATAAACAAGTTAAAATCACATATATGACAGGATAACGGAGACTTCAAAGAATCAAACTAAAACATTCACCAAAGCACAATAAATACATGAATTAAACTAAAAGTGAGAAATGGACCTTTTGGTTTGTACTAGTGAAAATAACTCAGTGAAGAATACAGCAAAGCCAAAGGTGCTTGAAACATAGGAAATGACTTGGACCGATGACCGAAGTTACAGCTAATTACCGTCTCGATCGGGAACCTCGCCGCCAACAAAACTTGAAACCCAACCGATGCCAAAAATTAATGTAATAGTGGTGATTTTCTAAAGCAGAAAATGAAGGTGTTTGGGTGGTGGGATAGAGGAAATCTGGTGCATTTTAATGGAGTTTATTATTTGTTTTTGAAGAATAAGAGGGTTTGGGGCTGCTTTGTTTACTACTGTGAAGCTGCATTAATGGAGGAAGAAAAAGAGATTACAAACTCCATTTTTGTGAAGCTGTGACCGCTCCTTTCTTCTCTCCGTCCCCTCTGTTTTTTTTGTTTCTTTTTTTTTTCAGATCTCCACTCCCCTTTCCGTTTTTCCTCTCTCGTTACTCCTCTCTCTTCCATTTCTCTGTTTGTGTATTATGTGTGGGAGCCCTCCTTTTTATTGAGATTATCATGCTTGAGAAAAAGAAATTCATGTGGCCCCTCTCTGGAATCAAAAAATGTTTGAACAAAATTGTTTTCCATTTCTAAAAAACAAAAACGTGAGTGTGCAGGTGAGTTTGGATAAGAGGAAATAAAAAATGATTACGGAGAAAGGGAAAGGATACGTGATGTGGAACAAAAACAACAGAAAGGGGACCACTTAAATATTCCTTCTTGATTTCATTAGTTCCTTTTCTTTCTTTCATTTGCTTCTTCCGTTTTTTCCAAACTTTGTTGCTCGTTTTTTATTTTTTTGTTTTCTTGTTTTGTTTCAATCCCTTTTGTTTGTTTTTTTTTTAATTTTTTCATTCTTTTTAAGATTAACCAAAAATACTAATTGTCTAAATAAAATGAAATATTAAAAAGTTAAGATAGCTATGTTAAAGTAATTTAGACACTACTTGATATATATATATATATATATATATATATATATATATATATATATATATATATATATATATATATATACATTTTTCAAAAAGCCTACAACTTAAATACTAAACTAAGTAAATATATTTTTTTTGAAATATTCTTTTATCATTTTGGAAAATAAAATATCAAGGCTATTTTTGTATTTTTTTCAAGAGTAAAACTAGTTATACAAAAGATCAACTAGCTAAAATAAGGGAAAATATTTTTTTGTAGTTTTTGAATTTTAAGATAAGATATATAAGCACTAAGATGTGTAAAATTTCGGGGAGGGTCAAAATTTACATGTCTACAGTGTCGATGAACGGTTTAATGGGTTAGAAACTAGACTCATAGATATTCAAATTGGTAGGTGGATCATCCCGTAATTTCAAGCATATTGGGAGAAAAGCTAAGCTATATTTGACCTAATTTTCAGCACATTTATGCATGTAACTTGTGATAGCCTTTGCAAAGTTTTGTTCCATAACTCGCTTAACATCAAAACATAACACACGACTATCATACGACTAATATAACTTATAACATAACCTCTTTATCATGTTAAGAACCCTAGTCTCACCCAAAAAGTACATATTATAACATTTCTATCTTGTCGACTCTTGACGAAATTTATTTTCTTCAATTCGTTTAGCTTCTACGCCTTTAAACCCTCTTGGTACATGGTATTGATGATCTTAAGTATTTGTAACATCCAATGTAACAAGATTAAATTACTTTATATACTTTCAAATACAATCTCATTTTTGAGCTTACGTCACTCGACTTGCGACATACTCTCACGTACGAAAGTATGGGGTATAATAAATTCTTGTATGGTTGGACTCGATATCGAATAGGTGTTCGGATTATGTAATTTTTGTTGGGTTCCGAGGCGCGGGCTAGGTTAACTTTTCGGGCTGACTTTTTAATTCTTCGTAAAGATCATAATTTTATTATTTGAATTAGTTTCCTATAGTTATATTTATAGTACGAAATTATTTTTTCATGATTCGAACCATTCAGAGTTGGATAACTGAGGAAAAGGCCTTCTAGTGGATTGATTTAATGTGGTTTGAGGTGAGTGACTTTCCTAACTTTTTGTGGGAAATTTTCCCTTAACATTGGTGTTGTTTGTGATAATTGTGCTGTGTAAGAATCATTTACGGAGGGTGACAAGCGTGTACACGGGCTAAATGTAAAAATTACCAGTTTTTAGCCATGTAGATTCTTTTCATGCCTTAATTTAGTTACCTTAACATGTTATAATCACCATTTTTATTCTAATTTCACATGTCTACTTGTCTTATCTCGTACTTGCTAATTGCTCTACATGTTTAACTGAAGTTCTTGTTACCTTTATTCCGTATTCATTATTTAACTGTTGAATTCTTTACTTGAAATTGCTATTCTTGGAATATCTTGTTGTTGAAATTGGTATTGAGTTTCAAAGGTTGTGATTCCTGTTGAGGCAAAGTGTTAAGTTGTGAAATATCATTCTATTGAGTTATTTTGACGGTTGTTATTGTTGAGACTTTGTGTACATTGTAGTTGAGCCATGGGCTCGTTATTGTTTGGTTTCTCTAACAAGTTGTGATATTAGGCACTTGAGGTGCGATTTGTGATTTGTTGTGATATTGATACACATGCGGTGGTATAAGGTCTGGGGTTGAAACGCATGTGGATAGATAAGGTGAGCTGGATATGCGTGGCTAGAGGGGGAACTACTAGAAGCCATGCGGTGTGATGAGGTGGGCTAAAAAGCGAGATGCTATTTCGGGAAAAATGTTTTTCAAAACTAAATGTAAAGGTCCCCGCGGTGATATAAGGAAAGATTGTGATTTACTTGTGTGATTTGAGCCTATGATGAGGTACCTCAGTAGTGACTCTTGTTGACATTTCCCTATTCTTTTGCGCTTGTCTTTAACCGTTATTTCCTTAGCATATTATTAATTATCTTTCTCCGTGTTGCACTATTTTCTTTAGTTTTGTGTAGCTAACCTTGATATGCTATTCGTTGTTTCAATTTCATTACACTCATTATTACACTACCTATATTTGTTCAGTCTTTTATTTATTTTCAGTGGGGCCCTGACCTGACATCGTCATTACTCTACCAATGTGAGACTTGGCACTTACTAGGTACCATTGTGATGTACTCATGATACTCTTCTTCACATCTTTTTGTGCAGATCCAAGTACTTCTTAGCTGCCCAGACATTAGCAGGGATCCTACTACAGAGACTTCAAGGTATACCTGTCGGCGTCCGTAGGTCTCGGAGTACCCCTCTGTCTAGATCTCTTTATTCATTATCTTTTATATATATACATGATTGTGTACGGTCAAAATCAAGTACGCCCGATTTCGTAGACTCGAGGGGTCGCTCCGAGAATAAGTTCGAGATAGACCAAGCTCGAGCCTGATGGCAAAGTACAAGATTAGAAGATCGAAGTGTTTATTGAATACCGATGCCAAGTATGACCAACCTCAAGATAGTATCGTTATGGTTTCGTAACAGAAAGAGCAAGATTCCCGCCATGGCCCTGAGATCACGACGTGAATTCCCGAACGGATTCGTACTAGGTGGTTAGACAACTATATAATAAGATTCCCTACTACAATAATTTGTAATGCATCAATCATTGACAAGAGAATATACAAACATCACTTTATGCTTACTATTAATCACAATTACTTTATTATTTTACTATTTTTGCTAACCCACCTCGAGTCTACCTTAGCTCGAGGTCGAGACTTGTTTAAATACTGGTTTGACTTGCTCTACTCTTTAATTTATGTCACGACCCAAATCGATGGGCCGCGACGGGTGCCCGAGTCCTACCTGTCAAACACCCATAAGCATGCATCTAAGATATAAACCTGAATAACATCTGCTGAATTACGAGAATAATATATATTAAGGAAACCTGCCCAAAAGGCATATGTACATATTGTGCAACATACGTAGGGCGAGCCGACAAGGCTGCTATGGACAACTATATACCTCAAAACTGGAAGCCGGCAAGGCCACATACTATTCAACTAGACATACTATCTACAGACCTCTAATAGAAATACAATTGTACAAAAACGGGACTGAGCCACATCATACCCATATATATATATATATATATACAAGCTTATCATACCATAATCAAAAGCAGCTCCGGATCAAGTGGAGCACCCGAACTCTCGCTAATCAAGGATCCTAAAAAGGGGACCATCAGCTTACCTACCTGCACTTGTGGGCTTAAAACGCAGGCCCCGTGAAATAGGGCGTCAGTACGAAAAATGTACTGAGTATGTAAGGTATGCAAATCAGTAAATAAAATACATAGATGAAATATGGAATAAGGAAATCCATCTGTCAATCCGAATAACTTCCTAAATTCTGAAACATTAATAATGTCATGCACGTGCATATAAATATCGTGTCATGCATAAGTATAGGTGTACATAATATCATCAAGCCTCTGAGGGCATCCCATCATATCGTCTCGGCTACTGTGGGCAACATCATCAACATATACCAACTGATCAGGTGGTGGTGCATAAGTAGCGCTATAACCTTTTTTCCATATCCTATATACATATATATAAATATATATAAATATGCGTATATAAAGCCATCTGGTCATGGATCAATGCACATGTATAAATGAATGAAATACATGAAAAATATGTAATAATCTCAAAATTCCTTTCGGATAAACTTTTTCAATTGCGTATTATTCTGATACCCATAAATAGAAGATATAATAATATGTCACATGGGGATCAAGAACATAGAGACCCCTAGTATTCCTATGAATAGAGTCGTTTATGAAAACTGTGCTTTTGCTCGTTTCTTTTGTATAATTTGGATCATGCCCAAAAAAAAAAGAAGGGGTGGCCTTAATATATCTAGAGTAGGGAAAAATGCATATAATACTCTTGGAGAATATTGCACTGTACACCTTTAGACCCGCAAAATTTTAAGTTGCTATGATTCTTAAAAATTCTTGTTGGAACCTTGTGTATAATCAGAACTTTGTTGAAGATCTTATAATGGCACGTTCTGTTTTGAAGGATTTTTGTAGGACTTTTCTAAGCAATTTCATTGCAAAAAGTGAAAAGCTCACATATGAATTGCTTAACATAACGTTTTGAAACATTCCGACTGTAGGTCTCTTTATTCCAAAGTGTACTAATTACTTTACAAGTCTTATATTCAAATTGGTAAAGTGTCTCTTAAGTAGTATCTTAAGTTGCCACCTAATGAAGATCTATTAAGAGTCATGGTTTTAAAATGTGGCTAGTTGCCACGTTTTTGGGATGGGAATTATTAATCTTTATCCACTTATTAGTTAATTAGGTAATGTTCTATTACCCGGTAATTAACCAATTACTCGTATAATTAAATATTATTTCAAATTACTTAAAATTCTATTTTTTTTAATATACTTTATACATCATACTACCGTGGTCATATTGTACCTTACATGGTACTAGTTTATAAATATTGGGTATAATCGCTCGACCCGTATTTTACCCCAAATCGGCCACCTTCAATGAAACTCGTTTCCTTTAATTCGTTCACCCTTTTATCCTTCATGATACTTACTTATCGCTTGTTATAAATAGCATAAATACGTTAACCTCAAGATAATCTCATCCTCGAGTC